TACTACTACTACTACTACTGCGAGCAGTACAGCTTCTGGCTGCTGTACTACTCTGGTAGTCTACTGCTCCTGCTGCAGCTTCACCTGAGCCGAAGACCACCACCACAGCGATTGATAACCCGACCTTAGGATACCTGCTAACTCAACATGAGTAGTGACAACGAGCCCTTTCATCCATTCGAAGTGTTACAGACAGCGGTCCAGGGCGCCGTGTGCTAGAACCAGGCGTGCAATGAAGAGTGGTTGTGGTTGTAGTAGCGCAGACATGCCGAAAACTGCCAGAGAGTAACAGGGTGAACCTGCGTGGGGTGCAGGAGTGTGAAGCCAGCCGTGGTGAGCTTCAGACATTCTGGGTTTCCAGTTGTCGGGGTCGGGTTCCGAATGAACATCTATAGGGTCAAGGTGTTGAGGTATCTGATGTAAGGATTCTAGAGACGTGGTTGTGCACATATCATAAAGCAATGCCCGTTCCGTGCCTACATCAAAGCACAGCTCAAAAGATCATATGCTTGTCAGCTCTAGGGGTATGGCCTGAAAAGAAAGCCCCAAACCCGGATATCTATTTCCTACGCTCCGGTATGGCGACAACAAAACCGAGTCAGTACACAAACGACCAAACACCCAGGCCACGACACATCCGACACCGGAGGTCCTCCATACACAATACGGATTACTGCAACCTACAAGCTCCGAAAAAAAAAACTGACACGGCCTCTGGGAGTAAAATCCCAAGTCCAGGTAGCCCGAAGGAGCCCTGAATCCAAAGGAGCCCTCGATCTTGACTGAATGCATCTAGGTCTGAAGCCGCGGATATGGAGCTAGCAGTTTAAGCTGCTTTTGGTCCCGGCCTGTGTCTTTCGTGGCCTGGGCATGTACCAAGCTTAAGATGATGGCACCATCCAAAGCCTTGTCGTACCTCCAGTGGCTTGGGGTTTCGGTATTGTGGCAGTAGGATGGTGCTGGTGCAGATAATGACAGATCGTGGGAGTGTTAGTGGTGGTAGCGGCGGCGCTGGTGGTGGTGGCGGTGG